GCATTCCCCCCATGTTTTCTGTTTTTGGGCCCCCATTTACGCTAGTGCTTCAACTTGGTTACAATATCTTGCGATGTGCTCTTACGCAATGCATTGACATGCCAGAACATTTGGCTCAAGCAACCCACCCCCCGCCCCCCAACACCATGCGATGACATGACCAAGCGTCGTGGAGTCCAAAAATGTCAGAAAAGTGGATCCGGTTTTCAGTCCCTAGGCACAAACAAGACGCCGCGTACCATAATTCAGAAACAATTCTTTGGTCTTTTTCTTGTGGTCGTGCTGTCTGTGGACATCGGCGGCATTGTGACCTTGTTGGCCACATCGGGGTGGACGCTGGACTTGTGCGGAATGGGTCGCTGGAAGGTGGTCATCCTCCAACGAGGGGGATCTACTGTCGTGCTCGTCGAGGATGCAGCCATCAATCTTGTAATCGACGGGGGCGATCTCGAAGTGTCGGCGCCGCAGCTAGTCGAACGAAGCCGCGGACCTTCACGGCCAGCAGACGGGCACATGGCGTGAAAACAGAAGGCCTCCCGATCCGTGAAAGGGGGTTCTTGCCAAAAGGAAAAGGCACGGGCAGGACACTACTCTGAGACAGTTCGAGATGATGGATGATGAGGTTTTGATTCCACGCGAGTGGACGGCTTCATCAAAGCTCGGACATGATTTCCATGGCGTTCAAGTCTTCACGAAAAGGCACCACAAGAGTAAGTGGAAGGCTGGTATTGGTGTTTGAAGCAGCATTTGGTGAGTTTCAATTGGAGCTGGACAAGATCGAAAAAGATTTGATTTTGGAAACGGCATGGGATCTCATAGACACGAAAGAGCAGCAGAGGAATTGATTGTTGTATTCTTTGTTGGGATCTTTGATCCAAGAACGATTGATCGGCGTTATCAAAAATGTGAACTTTTCAACGGAGATGAGGCTCTCCGACAGCTCTTGGTAACTGCCAACCACACAAGCTCGCAACAGGACGATGAGTTTGTTGCGATGAACTGTGGTGTATACCACTTTCAACATGAAGGCCAGCATCCTCCAGGTGCCTGCTCGCTGGTGACTCCCAAAGCGTGGTGCTTTTCCATTTTAGCGTTCCCATACTGCGTTGACTCCCCTGAAAGGGGCGGACGTGTTCTGGCGAGGAAATCAGGGGCTCGATTCTTCCCAACATCACTTTCAGTTAGAAGAACACTTCAACCAGCATGAGAAGCTCCCCCGACACCGAGAACAGCTGAAAGTCCAATTCCCCATGGAAAGAAATTTAAGCCCACCATGGAGCAGATGACGCATGGACATAAAGGGAGATCCCGAATTCAAGAGAGCTGAGCAGGATCCAGACAGACCCAGCATGAGACAAGAGTATCAATGACACAATGGAAATCTCTTCTGTCAAATGGACTCCATCATTGTTACAGAGGAGATCGTGGAATTGTTAGAGATGGAGGAGCAAGAAATTAATGACTTGCCCATGCAGTGGAAGAAAGAGACAAGGTTGCAAAACAAAAGCTTGGAGTGTTGAGCAAAAAAGACAAGTTACAGGCTTGGGTTCCAGTCCTTTCGCCCCAACATTCAAGGAGAACCGGCAAATGAGAACCATTCCACCTGCACAAAGATCACGCACAAACCATACACCTTTCTTGTGTGAGGTTGAAAAAAAGCTCGCGCCGAATTTTTTTTCTTCGTGAAAGGTTGTAACGGCAGGCTCGTGATTTGGTTTTTAAATGGATTATGTCAATATGTATCCGTGTATTGATGTGGATGTGCCAGATTCGTCAATTGAAGCATGAATTTTATGCACCTCTTCCATGGCATCCATTTTAAGCACTCACTTGATGGGACGGTAAATGCAAGCAGCTGTCGAACTTTGGCCCAGCATTCCGATCCATGAGTGTTCTGGAAGGTAGACAAGTGAAGTTGCATCTCCGGGCAAACTTTGATGACAACCAACCCGCCCTCCCACAAGCAAAAGCCCAAACGTGCATGCGTGACATGACCAAACCTTTTGCTTGCGCGTCCAGTGCTTCAGGAAAGTGCACCGCTCAACCACATCTCAAAGTTTTTTAAACATTGTCTCGAGCCTCTAGCAGTAACCACATCTCACAAAAAACAATAAGCCACTGCATGGTCTGCAAATCGCCTGAAACTAGTCTCAACTTGTGTCAGCCCGTCTCAGCCACCAGCATGTTCGAAGACCGTAGTTTAGCAATATTGTAAAAATATAATTGGCTCTAGACCCAGATTTTTATAATATTGTATAAATTGTGCAGCACTACCCAATGAAATTTTACAATGTTATAAAAACAAATTACTGCATTACCCAATGAAATTTCTAATATTATAGAAATTTGGCTGCATTACCCAATGAATTTGAAAAATACTATAAAAATTTGGCTGTATTACCCAATGAAATTTTATAATATTACAATAATTTGGCTGCGTTACCCAATGAATTTTGTAATATTAGTTATAAAAATTTGGTTGCGTTACCCAATGAAATTTTATAATATTATACAAATTTGGCTGCATTATCCAATGAAATTTTACAATATTATAAAAATTTGGCTATATTACCCAATGAAATTTTATAATATTACAAAAATCATGAAATATTACCCAAAGAAAACTTATTATATTATAAACAATAATATACTGGGATTCACTCTTTTCCAGCTCAGGACCTGCCGGAGTGAAGGTCGTGCGACCAAAGGTCAGGCCGCAAAGCCGGCATGAGGCCTGCCAGGAAGATCAAGAAAATCGCTCACGCCTGAAAACGGATGCTCATAGATTAATCCCTCGCAGTGCGATAAACCTTAACCTTTGAACCTCTATAGAAGACTTGGAGATCACATCTGCTGAAGAATGGGTCCACTCTCGAATCTACTTCAAGCAGCATGGTGAGCATCTGACACGTCGAAGCGTGTTCAACAGCTCCAAGCCTAGGAGCGGCAGGCTGAATGCGGAGGGCATGCCATGTCATGGTGCTGAATGCAATGTCGCAGCGTGACATGGCATGAGGTTCGTGTCATGTAATGAAAGGCATGTCATAACGGATTTTTTCGATCGAATCCTCAATCTCAACTGCTATGCCTGCCACTTTGGCATCCACCCATCCAACGGCAATGATGTTGTCGATGAGCTCGTGAACGTCTTTTGGGTTCACTCTCCAACTGCCAGTGGTGGCAGCTTCATTGTCGTGACCATGCCGTGCTCCGCCAAAAAGCCCAGGCAGGACTGCACGGTGTTCACCAACTTTTCAGGCTCCTTGCGCAGGAGCTCTTGCATTCCATCCAGCACGTGACGAGGAAGTGCCATGATGCTCGGCGCAGTGAAGCAGTAGTCAGATGGGAACTTTATTTTTTTGAGATTTGTGAACATGTGTGAAAACGTTTGTGAGAGAAGTGGTTATGTGTGAGAACATGTTTGGGAAATGGATGAACATATTTGTGAAATTGGGATCTTTCATGACGCTCATGCTTGTTCTAAGACTCATACATGTGCAAAGTCAGAGTGTTTGACGCATGAAACTCATGTTCTGAGATTGTTACCTTCATGGGAACATATCATGACCCCTTCATAATTCCCCGGTATAAATGATGCAGAAAATGATATTTCAAGTTCTTAAACATACATCTGACTGCAGAAGTGTTTGTGCTTTTGCATCATGAAGAACATATTGGAGTCCTCCACATGACATGTCATGTCACACCATGTCATGGCCGTGTCATGTCATATCATGCCATGTCATGTCTCATGAAAATAAGAAATCGTGTCATGGCCGTGCCATGCCATATCACATAAAAACAGGAAACCAGGTCATGCTATGTCATATAACATGAAAACAAGAAACCACGACATGTCATGCCACATAAAAACAAGAAAGCCATATTACGTCTGGCCATGTCATGTCGCATAACAACAAGAAACCTCATAAAAGCCATGTAAAAACATTCTGAATTGCCCATTCGAAAAACACTGCAGACTTCATCAATAAAAGCAATTGCAAGCAAATAAAGCTCTACATAACATGTCTACATGAATTAGCCCGTTCAACCACAACCTTTTAACGGCCCTCGACGGGAGAGGTGTACCCTAAAGTAGAGCGACGCCAGCAGCTGCGCGCCACATCTGTGCTCCCAACCTTATATATAGTAAATACTTAGCTCACTTAGCATAAGTAGATATAATAAATAGTTTACATAATTACAACACAAAGTAATTAATATGTCATAAATAATAAATAATAATAAATAGTTATCATAGAAAAATCACTTATATCTTTATATATAGAAGTTATATTTCAAACTAGGTTATTTCCCAAGTAGCACTAAACAATACATCCAAATACTAAACGCCTTAAACCTTTAAATATATCTAATTTCCCTAATTCCAACGAATCGTTATTTTTAATTTTTTGCTAAATTTCCATAAATTTAATATTTTACATAAAACAAATTCAATATCAAAATTCCAATAACCTTTTTATATTTCCTTTAATTTTCGATTTTATTTCCTTTAATTTTTTATAATAAAGAAATTATAAATATATCTATTTAATTTTAATATATATTTCCGAATATTTACATTTTAAATTTTATCAATATTTTTATATAAATATTAATATCATACATAAATCCCATTAAATTTTAATCAATCAATTTTTAATTTATCAATTCAAAAATTATATATATATTTTTTTTAATAATTCGACAAATCATTATTTTTTATCATAAATTAATTCACCATTAAATTACATACCCAATAAACAAAACATGAATTTACAAATAGATGTATAATATAATTCAAAAGAAAGAAAATCCATCTAAAAATCGAAATTAATCAATTCTTCACTGAATATTAGATCAAATGATAGAAAAACAATGTGTACCAATTGTTTGGAGCCATCATTATATATATTACATGGCGAATTCACCAATCATTTCCAACCAAGCCCAATTTCCAAGACACACTCGGATTCTAGGCGCAATAAACGGCCCTCAGCTCACATCACTTCGCCACGACCCTCAAAGCACCTGTGTGGCAAATCAAATGAAACAAAGGCAGCAACTTTTTGACAAAAAATCTGGCTGGCCACTGAACGCTCGCAACCAAGGCAAAAGTAAACACAGCAGGCGCCTGCATCCTGGCGGGCAAACCTTTGCCATCTTTTTGAGAGAGGCTGAGAAAGCCTCGGCGGAAAACAAAATGAATCATGTTCTTGTGTGGCTCCCTTCTTTGTTGGACCAACGTACTCACCCGCTTGCAACACAAAGAATCTCGTCCTCCGTCACACCAGAATCTTATCCTTCCTTCCCTTCTCCTAAGATGCGAACGTTCAGCGTACTATTGCTGAATCGGTTTCCTGCAAGGCGAAGGCCTCTCATGCTGGAGAAATGCAAAGTAAATCTAGATCAGAAGAGATCGGCACGCAATTTCATATCAACCCTCCATGCCTCCAATGTCATCAATGTGAAATGAAAAGACAATTCGTGTGTTGGGTCTGCGTTTCGTCATGCCCATACAACAAGAATGTGAGCGTGCCTGCAAAGGGCCTCTTATCATGAGCAAGCTTCAGTTCATTCAATACCAAAATGTCGCCGATCTCATTCCTGATCTATTGGAACACCCCGTCATTCAGAAGCAACAACCACACCAAACAAAACATTGAACAGGAGATAAACTGGCTGGGTCATAAAATGCCGACAGTCTGTTGTGTTTCTTTCATCTGAGTCTTTCATCAAGACGGCTAATAACCGGTGCGTGTGTGCGCCAGAATCAAAATTCTATTTTGGAGACAAAGCGAGCGAGAGAGGGAGGTTGATGAGCAGCTGAGCACTGATGCAGTGGGACACACTGTGATGTTCTACAACTCGCCGGCATCACAGGTGGTTCTGCCTCCTTCACTGACAATCCCTCGAAGGAAACTATCTGATGGATTGGCTTTAAAACAGGAATGGCACCATATCTCCAGTTTTCAAAGCTCATCCAAGAAAATGGAGATGCAGTTAAGGGTTTGGAACGCATCATGTGAGGTGTTTGGTCTCATCAAGCTGAAAACCGTGGTGGTGACATACGCAGAAAAAACATCGTCCGCAACGCATGATGGTGAGAAGTTTGGATTGAACCATATCAAACAACCTTGATTGAGCGAACTTGTTGTGTCTTGATGAAATCTGTTAAGTTTACTTCTGCAGTGCAAGTGCAAGATTTCAATAATTGGCTGGGACCATGATGGAAGTAAGTGGACACGTCACACTGACTGAGTTTGACCTGCCAACTTTGAACAAAAGGCATTTTGAGAATGGCTAGACTGAAAGGTGGGAAGTGGAGAAGTCGCTTTTGACCTGCCATCACCTTGCAAGATGGGTGCTTGTTCGCACGCCCTCGCCAGAAGGCAGACACGCAAACGCTACATCTGCAAACGTTAACTTTTCAAACCAGCATCCTTCTCCACTTACGTGAAGAAAAAGCACTCCAGAACGTGCAAAAGATGAGTCACACTGGTGGTTCGTGAGCACGTTGCCCTTTGCATGTCGGCACCGAAAGGCCGCGCTTCTGTTGCATCTTGCTTTCTTGAAGCTTTGCACTTCGACCGGCACTTCTTGTTGGTTGCTACCATCAAGCTGGTAGGAATTTAGTAGCTCGCATTCACTGTTGTAGAAGTGGTGGTGGTGATGGTAGTAGTAGTAGTAGTAGAAGAAGAAGAAGAAGTAGTAGAAGTAGCAGTACCAGTAGCAGTACCAGTAGCAGCAGTATTAGTGCCAAGATCACCAGGAGGTGTGTCACAATGTTCTCCCTGCAAACGCAGCAATTTGATGTGCAAATATCGGGTTTTACTTTTCACGTTCCATGCAGGTAGAAAGAAGGCCATATTTCTACCCTGAGCACGTGCCGGTCTTGGACAGCACATCGTCAGTGCAAAGTCCACGTGTATTGTAACCTTGTGTTTCCAGCTGTTGCACACGCAGCCATGTGTTGTGTTTCAAAGTCCATGTGGCGAGCTGTTTGTCCCAGCAATTCTAATTTGAACTGCCACTTTGCCACTGAACATGGGCATTGCTATCAGGGCTGTCATCACTTGTCGATAGTGCAACTTTATCATCGGTATCACAGTAGTGTTAGGCGCAACATGAACGGCCAAATCGGGAGGTGTCAAAACTTCACTGCGCCGACAATGACATCATCTGGGCATTACACGACCAGTTTCAGGACACTTCCAGTGGAATATATTCCGGAGCGCACACTCCTGCTTGGGATGTCTATTGCTTGGGGCAAAAGAGGATTGCAGTCGCAACACCACACATGACTTGACATTGACATGACTTGACTGAGCTTGTGTATGTCTGTGCTGCACATCTCTCTACAATCTGCAATGCACCTGACCAGGTGCATGTGGATGCAGGTGTTTTGCGAACCCTCCACAGTGCTTGCTTTCGAGTAAAGGTGATGAACATGTCAAGAAGAAAAATGCCAGTGCATCACAGTCAATCGTCAGTTGGTTCTTTCTCAAGCAAGTCCAAGTGTCTTCTCCAAACCCAGGTCTTGGATCTGTGACTTTGGCAGCATCCTGCAGTGGTGTGTGGATTGAAGTCTCCAGGATTTGCGGGGCATGATGTTGACTGACAACACACACGAGAGAGGATTGAACAAATCTCTAAAGAAATTGTTGATGAAGAGGAGTATTCTCAAAGCAAAGCAACTGTTCTGATGGTGGCAGTTCTGCTTTGATGCATTGCTCCGAGGCGAGGGCAAGCTAACTACAACAGAAATGTGCATTAACGCTCGATTACTGAGCGGATGCAAAGTTTGGAGCTCTTGTTATAATCATAAACGGGAGCACTGAAGTGGCAAGCCATCATCACAAAGAGCCGTCTGGAGGACCTCAGGGAAGGGCCCACACCCTGTCCGCTGCGCACCTGGCAATCAAGAGCGTCCCCTCCGAGCGCAAGCGGTTCTGCGCCAGGTCCAAGCGGTGGATGCCTCAGCGTGACAAGAAGACAAACAGAGAGGGGGCAAATCAAACACGGTGGCTGCAGGACAGCTGGAGCGGCTCAGTTGTTTTATGACTACTCTTTGATGGGGTGCTGATAGACTGTGAGGTGCCGTCCCAAGATTCTCCGTCAAAAAGCCTTAGAACTCCAGGAGAGCCTTTGAGTGAACTTCGGCAAATCCCACATGTTGGCTCAGATAGTAGAATCCATCTGGGCGATCTTTTGAAGCATGAATCAGGCACTGCACGCAGTGCGTTTGCAGACTTGGGCTGGTTCTCCAGACTTTACTTTGGCCACCCCATCAGCCAGTGCCCAGGCGCTGCTCCGTACGAGTGCTCGGGCAATCTGCTCAAGATCCTCCATGGTCAAGGAGCCTAAAGAGCCGGAGTCTTCAGCTGAAGATCAAATAGTCTCTGGTCACAATTCTTTAGGGAATGTCAGTGCGCAAGACATGTCGATACCATGGGCTTCTGCTCGACTACCCGATCACCTACGCTTGGAGTGGTCTCACGGACTGTTCGGCCAAAGCGGCAGCTTTCCACCGAAAGCCTGGTGAGCTCCGGCAAGGTCCGGAGGAACACACCCAGGGATCGTCCTGCGCCTCGTCCCCGCTCCCACCGCCCCCCCCCGACCATGGGATTCTCTTATCGGTTCTCCACGAGCCCCTGCGTGTTCGGCCGATCACATGAGTGCCATTCAATTGAGTTGAAGCGAAAACAGCAGCGGGGTCGACTTTCTTCTTATCCAGCAGTGGTGACAATGGTAGAACGGCGCCTGTAGGCGTGTGTACTTGGGGGGTCACTTTTCGTGACAGTAGATATCAGTAGATCCAACTTGCACGTCTTGGTGGTCTCATGTCTACTTTTTGTGGCATAGATTCTGTGGCTGGTGCAGTGAATTGAATGTCTGAATTGTCGCTGATTCTTGACATTTGGGAGACAGCTTCGCCTTTTGGCATTTTGACGCGCCAATTTCATGGCAGGCGTAGCGATTGCAAGCAACGCATCTTGGAAGAGTTTCGAGCGCTTGGCCGATGCTCGGGTGCGGCCTGACCACCTCCGAAGGTTTCGCCCTAGAGCGCGGAAGAGAAAAACCAGCCCCGTTCGTAGCGTCCGATCGCACCTAGTAGCGATGCCGGGAGCCCCTAGTAGCTCCTTGTTCCTAGTAGCGATGCCCTGTGCTCCTGCCCAAAAGAAATCCGTTCGAGAAGGCCAAAAGAAATCTGGGGCTTGAAGGGACAAGGGTTGGAATCTGAGCTTGGCCCCCGATGCAAACTTCGACCTTCCTGAAAGCTTTGGTTGCCTGGCAATGGCTTTGGCACGGTTAAATGCCTTTGCCGTCGTCTCACTTGCTTGTGATTTAAACCTGTTTGAATAACGAAGGGCCACCCGATCCAGTGCCAGCTTGCAAAATTCAATGTCTGTGCCATTCTGTGCCACTCAAATGTGCTTAGATCATCTTAGCTCTTGGCTGCTGCAACCAAGCTTGTCCAAGGAGTGCATTTCTTCCAAAGCACACAGAGTTCAAGCAAAACTATCAATTCTTTGGATCGACCATGCCTGTTTACTCATTCAACTGGGCAACATGAAACCTCCGTCCATCTGAAGTGAGTGCCGAATGCTGCCACGTAGGCGCACGCACTTGGTGATCAACTTTTCCAGCTCGTGCTCTTCTCGAAGAGCTTCAAGCTTCGCCTGCAGCAACTCCCACTCTTGTTGGGAGGAGGCTCTACGGCATTTTTCATAGAGCGATTTAATTTCTTTGGCACGCTCGATGCCTGCATCATCAAGGATATCATTCTTGTTTTGGAGGCCATTCAATGCAAGAACTTTGTCTCGAACTTGTTTGTGATTGTCAAACGTGAGCGAAAGAGCTAGAGCTGCCTGTCTTTGCTTGACCTCAAGGCCAGCATCCAACAGGTGCCGCAGCGTCAGTTTGCAAGTTGCAAGTTGTGTGCACTCGAGGGCGTTGCCACCGCCGCTCATTAATCGAAGTCTCCACTTGGTCAACTCACGCGAGTGTAGGAAGGAGTGCAATTCCTGCAAAACGAATGGATTCTTTTGCCACACTTTTAGCTGAAGCCCAGCACATCCGCCAACAGAAATCGAGCCCTCCGCATCAAAGAAACCAGCAAAGTAGGGCCACGAGCAATGGAAACGTGCAGGCACGTGGTCATTCTGCTTCAACTGTTTTAGCTTCTGTGCCACATCACTTCTATCTGCTTCTATAATTGTCCCAGCTGCTGCTATCTGGAGTTGTGCCCGCTGCATGGAGGGAACTTTGCACAGCACCCGAGCTGCGTGCTGCATGGTTGTGCTGCAAACGACCCATTGTAGCGATGCTTGTTGTGCTCCTGTTCGGACTCTTTCTAGATAAATTCCGCCTCCGAGACTGTCTCGGAAGCGCATCAGCACGCTTGCAGAGTCCAAAGCTTGGCCGACCCTCAACGAAATAGAACCCCTTTGCTTGATCATGGTCACACACCCATCTCCATCAAAGAAGCCAACTAAATATTCAAGCTCTTGTTGAGCTGGGATATGTGATGGCGGAGGAACTGCTTTAAGTGGAAGCTTATATGTCTTATCACCAAGTGTGAAGCTGTCCAGCGGCGCAAACCTGATTTGCTTTTGCAGCGCCGTCAAACGGTTGCAATGCCTTTTCAATCTCTCGATCTTACGCGAGGTTGGCACACGAAAGGGCGAACTGGAGGCACACGCAACATTCCATGCAGCAGCAATGCAGGCAAGCCAGAAAAGCATGAACAAAGATCTGATGAAAAATGGGAAAGCAAGGGAGGATACCTGGAGCCTGGAGCCCAAGACGAAGCACTTCAGATTCACAGGATCATGGAGACAGGGTCTGTCTGGGTGGGGTTAGCCTCAGGCAACGGAATTCTGGGTTGAACTCCTTCAGTGGCAACATTGAATGCAAAGGACACTCACATGCCTCTTTCTGTTGTAAAACCCCGCGCTTCTACGGATTGGTTCAATACTCGTGTTAAAGCAAAACAAACTACTTCGATTCGTCCAGCACCTCCGACTGGCGTCGTGGGTCTTTGGATCCCCAGGTCCTCAACACACCGACACGGTCCTCACACGAAGACCTAGCCTGATGACCTGGCACTCTATTTCAGGGGACCGTAAGAAGTGCTGTAAGAGAACACTACCCGGACTACTACCCGGCCCAGACTTTCTTGACTGCATGGAGGGGTCAATGATGCTCAAACGATCCATGGGACTGCACCTATGACCTACAACAGGTATAGGTAGACCTGACGCGAAAACTTCCGTATTAGGTAGGTGGACCTAATAACCACCAAACACCAAAAAGACAATCCTGATCCCAACAACTTCAATAAGTAGGTGGGACTTCCGACCTTCCCCGTGCCTACCCACACGATCCTGACCCCAAAGCCCACCGAACACCGACTGTCGTCACGGTCGTCGCGGTCGTCACGGTTGGTCTCTGGACTCGAACACCAGCCCGTCACGGTTGTCACAGTTGGTCTCCGACCCGTCACAGTCGTCCGGTGGGTGACCCAAGGTCCCGCAGCTTCGTTTGGAACTCCGAGGGAGCAATCTGAGTAGCTCGCCATGCACATCCATGAACATCCATACACCACGAAGACAAGATCGGATCAGGGAAAAGTATTGTGCCGTAGAGTCACCCAGCGTTCACTAATTGGATCTGACACATTTTCAAGCACGCATCATCTGACAAAGTTGCCATAGTTCTTTGGTCCTAAACGCCAGGGAGAGCTCACCCCCACTATAGAATTATTGCGGCCCCCAAAAAGGGAGTGGCCTACTCGGACTACTCGGGTTGAAAGTGAAGAAGGAAACAAATCAAGTCAAATTCACTCACATTGCAAGGCAGGATTCTGTTCAAGGACAGTGGAAGCAATGCAAGCAATGTTCTACTTGTACCCGGACCTTTATCTAGTCAGTTTGTCCTGAGTTCCCCTTCCACGATGATGCTGACCCAAACGTTGCCTGTGAGATGATTCTCCGACAGGTCCAGGCATTGCAACTTCCAAGCAAGAGGCCCGAGAGGGCTGAGGCCGGCTCGTTCTGCACAAGAAGCACCTCAGGTCCGGCCGGGTGATCAATCTACCAGGATCCCAGGGGCCATGAAGCTATTAGGTCTTACTGCAAACAGATTCAAATCATTCCTTCCGCTGTTGCCGGGCTCTATCCGTGTGAATCCCTGCATAAACTGTTAGGCCACCACGCTTTCTGGCTTGGCAATCAGGTCCATCGCTGAGAATTTGGGTGTGGGCCTTGCGCGCGGCGAATCACGGTTCTGCGTGGCGCACCAGTTTTCACAAACATCTTGACATCCTTTCTTTGCCGACCTCATATGTTGTCGTATGGTACTCCCTCCCGTTGATGGACCTATGCTTTGGCAGGTTATATTAGAATGCGTGCAACTGGCTGGTAAGCAGTCTCAATCTTAAATTTGGCAAGTATTGGGGAGGGAGACCGGTCTGGGATGGAAATGAAAGGAGATTAGTCTTGAGGAAGAACATGTAAAACATCCTGGACACAAATTTTAGCTTTGTATAATCAGCTGTTTAAGGCTCGCCTTTTGGAGATTGCCTCCTAAAAAATTGTTGATAGCTTTTGAATACGTAAAGTAAGGACATCCACCAGAAGGTTTTGGATTGTTGGGACTCCAAATTCCAACATATTCCAAGCTGATGTAGCTCATTGTATTCCTAAAAGCTATTCTATGTTGCCACCGTGCACTACAGTTGCACAGGGCCAAACAAAATTGGTACGAGTATGTGGGCAAGCTGGGTCTTCTGCACAGGTTCATGCAAGTTTCTGGGCTTCGAAGAGCCAATCCTGGCTGATAGAAGCACCATTCACAGAAGTTAATCTTTTTTCTGTTTGCCAAACTTTGTGGTGTGCTTTTAGAAGTTCGCAGAAGAGGCGGAGGCAGGCAGAAGTAAGTCGAGTTGGACAAGGTGTAAAGTCAGAGATGTATCCCTCATCATTCCTCAAGTTCTCCGATTGCAATTCCCCCTCCAATGTCTCTGCTTTTGTGAGTGCCTCTTCGCCACGTACAGAGCTCCGGGGCAGGGGGAAAAGACATACACCGGCACCCTGTCGGCCGGATATTGAGTTGACATCGATCTATCTGTGGAACTCTGCCTAGTAGCAAATCTCTGTAGCTTACCAGGGCCCAATGGTTTTATGGGATCACAAGGCATCCAGCAGCGCAGGTGAGCCGCCGCCAAGCAAGAATGGACAAATCCCCTGGCGCCAATTGGGGGGGGTTACGCTCCATAAAGATCGATTTTTGGGAGGTAGCTCTTGAGTAAGGGATTTTCCTTTTGCTTCTAAGCAGTTCCATCAAATGGGTGTTGGATTTTGGTGATTCCAAGCAATGAAATATAAAGGAACATATTTCAGAAGGTCCACAAATGAATAAAGAGAAAGATCCAACAGTGAGTAAATCTAAGGCTCAAGGGATTTGTACAATCCAGAAAAATATGACTTTCCTTATTGAGTGTCAAAGTTGTTTAAAGGCAACGAGAAAACAATGAACAATCAATGGAACAACATTGCAAACAACAGAAACATACTTCGGATTTAGCAAAACACACTCACAAACACAGAAAAATCATGAAACACAATAAGCTGTGAACAGGAATACAATGAGAAATCCATGGAAAAGAGGAGCAAAACAATATACAAACATTAATGTTTTTCAAGTCCTTGGCGCCGCGGTCAGTTACATTCCGGAATGAAAGGAAAACATTTGGCACCGACTACCGGCACTGGTCCGATTGCCGGTCTTTGGTCTTTACAACGGCATAACCCGTTGATGTGCCAGAAACAAGAAGCTACTCTTGGCTCCTGGCATCGCTACTAGGAGCAAGAACGCTACTAGTAACAAGAAGCAGAAACTCTATCTCCCGACGACACTTCCGCGTCATCCCATCCCCAGTCGTCGCCTTCCGAAATCCTGAGCCAAGTCGTTGAGCTGTGCAGCATCCACCGAGCAGCACCGCGCTTGCAGCGCCAACAACTGCCCTGGCAAAAGCTTCGGTCTGGATGCTGGGGCGGTGAAAGATCCAGCAACAAACTGTGGTCACCGTCATGTTCATTTACATTTCTTTTTTTGGGAGGCCCTTCACCGAACCGTATAGAGTTTCGGCTCCCATCAGAGAACTAATTGAAGTCGGCATAGAAGGAACTGCAGGCTTCATGCATTTCGCGGCACTGGTTTGGCGCTTTTCGTGAACTCCAGCTTGCGCCCGGGATATCCTTTGTGGTCTGGCCCAACAAACACATGCCCACAGTCCAAAAGGGTAAGCAGTGAACCTCGAATGATTCCACCGTGCAACTACTCCCGCTGAAATCCCGCTGAACTACTAAGCTGAAGGACTCCTTTCAATGGATTCTTAAGCACCTTCAAACATTTTCACAGCCAACACGTGATTCCCGGCTACGCCAAAACCGGGGGCTTCAACACCTGTGTGTCGCTGGGTTTCGCTTCAGTTCATAGTTCCATGGCCAAAGCTTCCGGTTGAAAAAGCGGAAACCTTCATGTAGCACATCCGTTTAAAGCATCACTCAAGAAGAAACATCTCGATTTGATTTCGCAGCCTGATCTTGTCAGTTAAGAAGAAAAGACAACTTCAATTCATACCCTGATTTGACCGTACATTCCACAGATGCCTTTTGTACCAAATGCCATTCCGTGTTTCATGTGTGTACTTCACGATGTTGTGTACCTTCTTGTACAGTCACCCAAACTATAAGGCTTTCGTGCCTGATTTGGTGCGGGAGTCAAATTGGCATCATCCCTCCAAAGTAACAGGGAGGTCCCATCCACCCTCCAAGTGCTCCCCTGCCCACCGTTTCGCAGTGAGAGCAGTGGACTTCCACCCAGGCGGCAATGGAGGAAACTCCTGAGATGGCTGTCATATGCCACGAAGGTTTGTTGGGCACCAAAAAAAGGGTCACTTTCACTGGTGCTGTCTGGTGTCTGGTCTACCATATACATGGTTTGATCCTTCGGGGCATTGCCAGGACAAGAATTGAAGACACCAAAAGCATCCATAGACGTGTACAAACAATTCAATCTGATACGAAAACAGTTCTTGCAGAATTGTCAAACGTTGAACGATGGGTGCTGTGTCATGTTCACCGTGTGAATTGAGGCGCTTGAGCTGAACCAAAAGACACTCAGTTTGATTCCTGCGGCTCAAACGAAGAAGTGAAGCATGCAAACATACTTTTCCGCAGGATTGGCTGAAGAGGCGATTCTCCTCCATTCAACACCACGCAGCACATCGCAATCCTTGCGGCCACGCATCAATTGCTTCAGGTGTTTGACTTCCTCCAAAAGCCTCCGGAATCCTTCCAAGCCTCGAGCAGCACAGTCGGTCGAAGAAGCTCGAGCAACTCCCACCACTTCCAGTGTTTCCGAGGCGACCCTGAGAACTCGCAAGTCCGACCATGGTCGTTTCACTTCGACCGGCCATCGTGGAGATCCGTGCGGCTTTGAAAGGAACCACGTCTCCCACTTTGCTGGGAGACCCGTCCCAGGCAAGTCGGGGGTAGGGCGTTCACACCAATCAAATATATGCAATATGACATATATTGTACCGGATTCCAAGAAAAAGTCTGTATGGGTGATGGAATGATCATTCTTAATCATTCAAAACCAGACCTGCAGCAAAATCCTGTCAGAAAGAACCTGTGACTTGGCCGTCGCCCATGGGCAAAGCAAGAACGACAGTAAC